TTGAATAATGAATGTGACAATACCTATATATGATCTTAGAAATAGAGAAACCGATTTGTCTCTTCCTAAACCGAATACCGATTTAAAAGATGCTTCAGATATAACGGAGCGGTAGTATGGAATAATTTACCGTATGAGGTAAACGCTTAAAATTGGCTTGTCCTGTTGCCTATATAATAATTCTTCTTTCTTTGTTTTTGTATTTTGTATAATCTAGTTATGTTTATCTGTACAGTATATTCTTTCTAAAATCACGCCCCTCGTGGAAATCAGCTATGAGTTGTTGAGGCCAGTGTGTTTAAATACATTTTTGTATGTATGTATGTATATGTATAATTATTATATACACAAGGTCTGGTTATGAGGTATTCTGCAATCTGATTGGTTCTCTACTACCAGGATATTAGCTCATATCCTGCTAGTGAGAAAAACAAAATGGCGGCTAAAACAGAATTTCCGATGTTTTGCGAACGAGAAAATGTCAAGTTGTTCGCTTTTTATAGCCCTTTCAGGATTAAAAACACAATGAAAGAACTCCCACAAATTGTTTACAGGTTAGCAAATGAATTTTTAAAATTTAAAATGGTTAAAAAATATATTTTTGACAAATTAATCAGCCGAAAGAGCGAAGATACAAACATCAACAAAACAGAAAAATATTGAAAATACCCGAAAAGCAAAGTCTGTGAATTCAGACCTTGTGTATATAATAAAACAGTTATTGCACTCACTCTCGTCGATAATAAAACAGTTATTCCACTCACTCTCGACTCGAGTTCGTAGAATAACTGTTAATTATATGACTTTATACATCATATATTTCTGACGTTTTGGATTGATAGGGTTACAACTACCTGAAAAATGAAAGGGGAAGTCCTTTCGTCGTGAAGTTATAGTAACGGCGGTTGAAACGAAACGAAACATCGAAGTTCTCCTTGTATTTTTCAGGTAGTTGCATGTATCCCTGTCAATCCAAAACTTTTTTATTATTGGCACCATGCACCTACACTGGCCACAGATAGATTTATGATTCGTATTTACCTGTTCATACTTGTACTCATATATGTTCTTTTTTATCGGCAGATATTCTGTTGAAGTGTCCATCTTGTCATGGTCATTATTCTGGCTCACATTGTAAAAACTGTAAACGCTTTGCCTTCCAATGTGTCATATGTCGTATTGCTGTGAAAGGTATACTTCATTTTTATCCTCTGATTCGCTTTTGGTGTAATAATATGCGAAAACATGCAAGCATCTAACGATGCAGTAGGACACCAGTAGTATACAAAGTGGGGGTTCTGGACCTTGTGGTGCGGGTGGTGACCTAAGCACAACCCATGACGTCATTACAGCATAATTTTACATCAATTACACGCGCTTATAATATCATTAAAGCGGCAATGAACGTAATTACATTCCGTGTTAATAAAACTTTAAATTAACCGTTTACTATTTTACTAATGTGTCCTTGCAGGACTTTGGGTGTGCCGAAACGTGATAACTCCTTTAGTTCTCACGCTTATAGCATTATTCCCATATGTTTAGTATTTATTCATTGATGTGGTATTTCATAATTAATCGAAGATTGAAATTGGCAGATGGAAATTGTCGAGTGGTAATTTATAGACATTCATTAGACCTAACGAGGAACAGAAGCGAAAAATGCAACTTTTGGTCCCTGTATTATTGCCCAATAAACGCACGAGACGAGTTTTACTATTTCTTTTATAATAGAAGTAGAAGATATTAGATAGTAAACCATTTTATTTCAAAAGATCAACGTTGAAATTCTCCTAACATGTACTCAATGTGTCACGCGCATGCTTTTACTATCACTTGAATTTTTATAAGCAGGCGAAGAGGCAAAAACAATACGGAATTTTGATGCTATAAAGCCGGAAAAATTAGCTCAATTTTAATTTTTGAAATTATTGTCATTTTATCTTTTGCCTGTATCTAGCAGTTTTTATCAGAAACATACTTTCTGAATGACTTATGTTCAGTTTTTGTCGCCCTTTTTCTATGTTTCTGGTATTTATACTGTATCTTTTTCAAGTTTATTTCTCGGCTATTTGTCGAGACAACAATCAATTAAGTTCGACGAATGCCAAGCTAATTTTACATGTAGAACTATAGAAAAATTGCTTTTTTCCGTTGCCTTTGGTCATTCCTTCCTGCTTTTTGATAAATTTTTTTTTTTTTAAATCTCTATAGTTTTGTTAACATTTTTGGCTAAAAAGCAGAGGCTTTGCAAGAGCATAGAACCCATAGTTAATGCGCACTGATCGGACTGTACTAAAGGCGCATGTCTGAAATCTCCTGGAAATGACATGCGCGCTAAACGGACTGTGCTGCGACTACATGTGTTTTTGAAATTAAAGACGTATGGCTGAAATCCCGTGAACCTTATAGCATTGATTGTGGACAACAGCGATTAAATGGACTGAAATGATTCGATTCCGTTTAAATTTCACAATTACCAGACAATATCTACAGCTGCCTAACAACATTTTCTTCTTCTTATACATGAGCTCAGTGAGTTCGTTTTTTACAAGCTTTTATTTTTTCCCAACTTTACATCACGGTGTTGTAGTACAACGAAACCTATAGACTTAATTGTAATAAAATCCTTTTATCATACATTAGCCATTTGGCTTCATTTGATTCTAACATTGAACGTTTAACTTTTTATATTGAGCATGCTATTGAAGGAAGAGGTTATTTCGCTGGCCTCAGAGTGAAAAAACGTAACAAAGCAACGATTTTACTAACACTAACACTAACACTAACTGTATTCCAAACACCAACTCTAACCTAACCCTACTCCAAATTTGTTTTTAAACTAATCTTGAAGAAAAAAGTTTTAACGAAATGTCATTCTTGAGTTCAGTGAAATAACTTAATTCAACTAATTATTATCTGACATTATAGATGCGTTTAATTTCTGTTTAACCTGTGGTCATGGTGGACATACATTGCATATTTTGAAATGGTTTGAATCGAAGGACGTGTGTGCAACAGGGTGTGGTTGCCACTGCCCAACTGAAGGCCATCTTTTTGATACGCTGTCTTTATGAAGAAAAATGAATTGAAGATTTCAAGTTTGCTTCAGTGGCAAAAGTGATAAAGGATTACTGCCGCAATGAAAATCTTAATTAAATGAGTTGCGTTTTATAATTGTTGAACCTAATGGATTAAAGGCTGCCTTCCAGTCACGTGTTGTTCCTACACATGCGTATACGCACGGAAAAGTTGAAATATCTTTAAATGTTACTATAAAATAACTGAATAAAAGGAAAGCATATAGTTTTGTGAATGATTTAATGTTCATTTGTACAGGTAATTCAGATATACTAGTGTTAATTTAAAAAGATTTAAAATTTTCCGCGCGTTTAAAAACGTATGACTGGAACACAGCCTTTTAGGAAACCTACAGCCTTAAATTTGCCATTTACTCATTTGTAGAGAAGTAATAGCCAGGAACGCCTGAACTGAGGGGCAGGGAGGGGCAGCTGCCCCTCTTGCCCTTTACCAGGAGGGGCAAGGGGGGCGAAGGTGGCCTTTGGATTAAAGGAAAATATTTGTTATTAATACAAAGAATTCGTTCTTGTTATTATAGAACTATATAAACTATATATAACAAACTTTTGCTGGAAAACGGCTGTAAGAAATATATGGAAATTAAGTTTATATATGATTCCAGTGTTGTTCCAATTTGCTGTTAAAGACTTAAAGTGCGTGTCACCTCATATTTTTCGCAAAGACCTCTGAAAAAAGTTTGGCCGAGAAGGAGGGCGAAGTTAAAATAACTGTAAGGCGATAATATATAAAAGTAAAATTACTTGAAAGAACTTGATTTAAACGAGCCTCTTTTTAGCTTAAATTTCGCGTACGACAACAGTCATTTTGGGCATTTTGGGCTGAATTCTTTTGTGCCAGAAATGCAGTCATTGAGCTTCAAAAATATATCAAAATCCTCTGGGGGAGAACCGCAGACCTCCCTATTTCTTTACAAATCAGAAACGTGATTATGGCAGCGTTAAACTCCAGATGTTTCGTAAACGTCCTTTAATATATATCAATACAAAAGTGCCCTTCGACGAAAGTCTGCCCCCTTTGCCCTCTCGTCGTTCCGGCGTCCCCTGGTAATAGCAGTGGAATGAAAAATATAAGATTGAATTACATCTCAATATTTTTACAAAGTAACATTCTACGATGCTGGGCATTAATTTGTAGACTCTTTCCCCCGATTATACAATGTTTATGTGTGCATGAAGTCCCATCCAAACGTTTATGTTACGATCAACATTGTATGGGGGAAAGCCGGGAGGACTATTTTGGGAGTGAATTTTAAAATCTTTAACAACTGTCCTTCAACAATGCTAAAAGATACGCCTTTTTATAAGAAGTCTATACGTATATTATATTTTCATGATTGCAGTTCCAGGTCCCGCTTCTCAGCTGGTTTACATCATATTCGATGTCTTTTGAACGTAAATTTCTCTTTCGAAATTACTTCGACGGGCCTTTGTCTTTTGCGGTTATTACACATAGGTATTTATCAATTCGTTCCTCTGAACGTTGAAACGTGGTTAAATGAAATTCACTTACCTTACATAGTTACTGTAGTAACTTAAATACTAGTATAATAGTTCTTCAAGGAAGACAGCTCTTCGCTTAACGTTTTATTCTATACTACAAATATTCTCAGTTTACACAAACATGCTCATGCTAATATCATGCATAATTAATTGTACATTAGTTCCGGTAAGGTTTATGATTGGTTGTTACATTCCTCCTTTTTTCCGATAGTCACTGTAATTTATAATCTAGTTGTCTTTTTTAGAGTCCTAACACTAATCATCTAGAAATAATTATAATTTTTTCAGTCAATGTACTAACTGGGTTTTTTAATTTAGTTAATGTTCTACTTTATATAGTCTTTATACTTCCCTTGATACGTGCTCTTCTTTAATCTTTCCGATCTTCGCAAATTGTTCTCACTTGTTTGTGGTTGTTGTCTCACTTGTTGTGTCTATAGTCTCACTTGTTGTGTCCCGGATGTTGCTGCTGTCTGTGTCCTGAAATGTCGTCCTGGATGTTGTGGCTTCGTAGTTGCTTGGTACTTTTACACTCGTCGTTTCATCGTTTGCTTTTGACAATTGAGCTGTTCTAAGTGGTTTAACCTTCGATGCATCTCTGCACTTAACTTTTCCATCCTTTACACGTCTCGCACGGATGGTTGATCCTTTTATGCTTGTCACAACGTATATGTACGGCTCGTACGGTGTATGCTTCTTCCTTTTCTTCTCTCTCTTTATCAAAACGGCATCACCGCACTTGATTGTATGTGTTTTCACTCTGTGACGTTTATCGTGGTACTGCTTACGTTTCTGCTTGTAGGTTTTGTCATTCTTCTTGACCTCATCTTGGGTGATGTGAACTTCGGTGGGAAAATGTTACAATCGTGTTCGTACTTGACGGTGCATCAAAACCTCGTACGGCGTTGACTTTGTTGCCGGATGGGGTTGTCTGTCTGTATGCTTGTAACATATCATATATTGCACTCTCGATTTCGATTCCTTCTTCACAGGCAATCTTTGTTGTTTTGTTGATCAGCTTATTGAAATTTTCCACTTGGCCCTGCGCCTTCGGATGTATTGGTGTTACTCGCTTGTAGTGAAATCCCATTTCTTCAGCAAAGGTTTGGAATTGTTCACCATTGAATGGTGGACCGTTATCAGTTTGTAGTATTCGAGGTATTCCATGGGTAGAAAAAATCTTCTTCAATTTCTTTGTCACTGGTATTGTGGATGTAGATGTTACCATCTCCACTCCTGGATATCGTGAATATTGGTCGGTAAAGCCTAGTTCTCATTCATCGCAAACCGTCGGCGATGGGAGCTTTGCGACGTCGGCGACCGCTTGCCATTTATGAGAACACATCAAAAATTATATCGCCGATTGTCCGTAATCGTCGCCGACCATCGGCGATGACATCGCAGGAAACAAAAAAGTTTGTTTCTTGCGACCATCGCCGACTGTCACCTGCTTAAAAAATCTATGAGAAATGAGTAAAAGTTGTTTTTTCCTCAACAAGAAAGGAAATAATCAACTGAAGTTTGACAAGAAATCATGAACTTTACGTTGAATGGGGCCATTTTGTGCCTTGGTGGGAAATTTCGAAACACATCGGCTGTCATCTGCGACGATCACCGATGTATGAGAACTTTCGTGCATTCGCGCTCGGCGAGTATCGGCGATAAGCGTCGCCGATCGTCGGTGACAGATTGCGATGAATGAGAACTAGGCTTAAGTACCAGTGCATATTTGTGGTTGGGCAGTGGTCCACAAAAATCAGCTTCTACCACATCCCATAGTCGGTCTGGTAACTCTGTCATCTTTGCTGGCTCGGTATGGTGGTGATCTGTAGCAATCTGGCAGTCGAAACATGTTTGTACAGTATATGTTATTCTGGTATTCATTCCAGGAAACCAGTACTTTCTTCGGATCATTTCTTTCGTCTTATTCACTCCGAGATGTCCTTGCTTGTGGGCTGACTGGATGATTCTCTGTCTCAGGGACTGGGGTGGTACAATACGGTCCATTCGCATGATCACTCCATCCGCGACAAAGAGTTCATCTCTGACTTCGTAGTAGGGTTTCAAGAACTGCTTTGCTTCACTCCATTTTCCGGTTTCAATCGTTTCGGTCAGTTCGCACAATTCCTTGTCTTCTGCCGTGGCTTTCTTGATTTTCGACCAGACTATGGCGTGATCTGCTTGAATCGCTGCGTTGACATGTTTCTCAATATGGTCTTTGCCAGTTTCTGGAAGAGGGTGTCGTGATAAATAGTCGGTCATGTTGCTCTTTCCTGGTATGTGGATAGCTTCAAAATCCAGGTTCTGCATCTTGATTATAATTCTTTCAATTCGTGGTGGAATTTTCGCTTTGGGGTTGTTGAGAAGCGGCAGTAATGGTTTGTGGTCAGTCGCTAGCTTAAATTTTGGTGCTCCGAGTAAGTACATCTGCAGTCGATTTGTGGAAAATTCAGCTGCTAATGCCTCCCTTTCGATTTGTGAATAGCGTTTCTCTGTATCGGTCAGTGTTCGGCTGACGTAATGGACAGGTTGAAATCCATCTGCTGTCTTTTGGAGTAAGGCTCCACCGAGGCCCTCTGGACTACCATCGACGATGACTAAGGTTTCTCTTCCTGGTTGATATGGAATGAGAACTGGTGCTGTTGTTAGCGCTGTTTTCAGGTCGTCAAATGCTCTTTGTTGCTCTGGACCCCACTCGAACTTGGTGTTGGCTTTGGTCAGTCTTCTTAGAGGCTCGCATCTACCTGAGAGTCGATCGATGTACCGAGAAAGGTATGCAACCATCTGTAAAAATGATACCAATTCTTCTTTGGTGTTGGGTTTCTGGAAGGTGTTGACAGCATGGACCTTGCTGGCACTCGGCTTCAATCCTTCTGCAGTGAATAAATGGCCATGGAATTCAAGTGTTGACTTTCGGAATTCACATTTCTCTTGTCTTAACGTAAGGTTGTAGTCCTTTAGTCGTCCCAGCACTATCTTCAGGTTCTTGTCGTGGTCAGCAAGATCTACACCTCCAATCATAATATCATCACGATTGTTCAGTGTTCTGGGAATACCCGATAGGATCTTTGCCATCTCGCTATCGAATAGGTCTTGACTGTTGACTCCCCCGAACGCAAGACGTTTGTATCGGTAATTTCCCCATGGCGTTGAAAATGTCATGGCTTGTCTGGACTGGAGATCAATGACAAACTGGTGGTAGCCATGGTTGAGGTCCAACTTGCTGAATATGCGGCAATCCTTAAACGCTGTAATAAAATCTTCTGTAATGGGTGCTTGGACTTGGCGAGTTCGTAACATGGAATTATTCAGTGTTCGTAAATCCAAGCTGAGGCGTATATCATTGGGATTCTTTGGTTTAGGTTGTACAACCATAGGAGAACACCATGTTATAGGTTCTTGATCAGGAACTTTCTCCATGATGTCTTGTTCCACAAATTCTTGGAGTCGTTTCTGGAGAGGTTCCATTAGGTGGTATGCAACTCGTCTTGGTTTTTGTGCAATTGGTTCAGCCTCTTCATCCATTGGTAAATGTAGCTGAATCTCCTCTCCATTGCGGGTCGCTCTGCCAATTCCATGAAATAGATCTTGATATGGTTTGAGTAGCTCGTTAACACTGGACTGTGTTTCTTGTAGTTTCCGAATATTGCAAGTACCACTGGGTTTGTTCGGTTCTTTAAGTCGTCCTGTTTCATCAATCTTCACCATGCCCAATTCTTCTAGGGTTGTTCGTCCAATTAAAGGTAAAGAGTTGATTTTCCCTTTAATGATGACCATTGGTGCTTGTGTTATGCGTGTCTCGTTTTCAATGGTCACAATGCATTCGCCTTTGACTGTTAGCTTCTCGTTCAGCGTATTTAGCTTTACTTTCGACTCGTATAGTTGTATCTCTGGTGACTTGGTTTTCAGCTCTTGAAGTTGTATTTCATCCATAATGTTAGAGTCTGCACCTGTGTCTGGTTCAACGAGTGTTTTATGACCATTTATGTAAACAACACAGGATAAAGTCGTTTCATCCCCTGTCGTCCTGTGTATCTTTAAGTGGTTTACCAAGTCGCTATCACTTGATGTGCTGCTTTCGGTACTCGGACTTCGATCTCTATTGTAGGTAACATGCTTGACATTTTTATTTTCCGGCATTTTCCTGTCTCTCCGATTTCTTTCTCCCGATGTTGATTGTTGTGTGTCTCTTGTGTCTTTGCCTTCGAATTGTCGTTCTCGTCTGCTATTTGAAAATCTTTCTGCGGGCTTCGATCGACATACTTTGGCGTAGTGGTTACGTTTGCCACATGCATTGCAAAGAGATCCCATTGCTGGACATTGTTTGTGAGCTCGGTCATATCCACAACGGTTGCAAGGATTTGTTGTTTTTTCACGGATCGATGATGTGCTTTGTTCACGGAAAATCTGAGACGAAGGTCGTTGTCGTTGTTGTCGATAATTTTGGACTCATTTGATTGTTTCGTCTGAATTTACTTTCTTCTCCATCTCTTTAGCTTGTGTTCGGGTTTCCTCGTCCAACTCAGCTTCTTCTAGAATTTGGTCGAGCGTCCAATTCTTGCGTATTGCTTTGATGCGTACGACATTGTTCGTCATTGTTTTTATTAAGTGGTCTCGAATAGCTTCGCTCTCGTTTGAGAAACTGCATTTCTTTGCTATTTCCCTGATGCGTGTATAGTATCGAACAAGCGATTCACCGTGGCTTTGCTTAAGATTTCCGAACTGAAATCTAGCAAAATCTTTATTCTTCTTTGGTAGAAAATGTTTGTTGAGTTTGATTATGAGTTGTGCATAGGCATCTTCACCGGCTTCGTCACCTGTAGCGTCGAGAAGTGTGTCTTCTAAATCTGCGATTATTTGACCGCCGTAAATGATTAAACCGTCTTTCTTCATCTCTGGGTCTGTGATCCCAAAGTAGCGAAACTGTCTTTCGATATTCCGTAGCCATTTCTCCCATCCTGAAGCAGTTTCAGTGCGATTTTCGTTGATCTGAAATGGTCTCACGTTGAGTTGGCGGTTGGTCACGCTTATATTATTTACGCTCGCGTTCGTCTCAGAGCTAGAACCTTTTTTCTCCTTGTCGTGGCTCATAATTTCTTGCTCTAGATCAATCTTTAGTACATCCTCGTCGCCAATGTAGTAACTTAAATACTAGTATAATAGTTCTTCAAGGAAGACAGCTCTTCGCTTAACGTTTTATTCTATACTACAAATATTCTCAGTTTACACAAACATTCTCATGCTAATATCATGCTCATATCATGCATAATTAATTGTACATTAGTTCCGGTAAGGTTTATGATTGGTTGTTACAGTTACTAATGCTGTTCTCAACAACAGGATGTGTTCGCACTGCTTGTTCCCAACTTGTTGACAAGTTGTTCCAACAACCTATCGTCCTGCAATTCAACAATTTGTTAACTAGTTGTGAGGAACAAGCTGGTATAGCAACTTGATAAAATAACAGCATTGTTACAACTTGTTTACAAGCTTGCTACAAGCCTGTACTCTACACGAGATTTTTACGTGAGTATCAGTGTATGAGGACGGGTGACTCGAAAAGGTGGCCCTCAACGAAACGATCATAAAAGAAACGACTACATTTAGTTAAAATATTAATAATTCATAAACTTTGTGGCAAATCATGTCAGCCATGATGTGTCACGTGGCATGACTTTATATCTGATAAAACTCATCTTCGTTAGCATTCTTTATATAACTGTTCATCCTATTTAGTATAATATCATAGTTAACTCGGTTTCTTTTGTTTCAACAGGGACGTTTAATTACGTATTTCCCTCATTACCCATGCATACGCTTTTGTCTTCTAAATTTCCCTGGGAAATCCGAGAAATTTAGTTGAAAACAAAGGATTTCTTTGTCTTCTAATTTTCCCCTGCATGCTTGATGAGGGAAATTTAGTTGAAAACAAAGGATTTCTTTGTCTTCTAATTTCCCCCTGCATGCTTGACGAGGGAAATTCGCATTCGAACAATCATTTGCCAGCTTTTATTCCCTGATCTTGAACATTTCAATTGTGGGAGAAAATTCCGTTTATGCGCATGCCTAAAACGCCAATGAACACGGAGATGTGTTTCTGCGCGTGCGTATATATGAAAAGTGTTCGTACCACAATCATAAGACAATCAAACAGCATTCAAAACAGGCAACACACCACGCGCGATTCCCTCGTTATCTATGATATTACAGAGTAATAGCATGGCATTACGGTCGATTAGTGATGAAATGTCCCTCAAGCCTGGAGAGGTTTAGTAAAAGTCTTTTACTAAACCTCTCTCGGCTTTCGGGTACATTTAATCACTAATCGCCCTGAATGCCATGCTATTACTTATAATTATTATTTATTATATAAAGTATAGCGCTCTATAGAGATTTCGAGCACTGATAAAACTGATAATCTCACATATGAGATTATTTATGTACTATTTAAAGCACACGTAGGAGTGTTTTATCACATATAAAACACGACGCGTAGCGGAGTGTTTTATATGTGATAAAACACGACTACAAGTGCTTTAAATGGCTTCAAAAACGACTCATCTTATACGAGTTCATTAGCGAAGTAATTTTTAAAATAAACTTTGTCTAAACCGAGAAAATCAAAGCTAAAGTTTATGTAAATTAACATGATTTTTTATCACATATAAAACCACGAAACGCTTATGATTTTTCTTTGTGTTTTCCTCCTGAATTATTGAGTTTTTGAAGATAATTTCACATGTGAAAATTATCGCTTTTCAATGATCACTTTTCCGTAAGAATTATCGCTTTTCAAAGACTGTCCTTTATATAATAAACAGTGCGCTCACTCGTGAGATATCATGTTCAACACGAGAAATAAATGTTGTATTTCCAAGCACCCATGTATTATTCTTCTATTATTTATACTGTTCCACCTCCTTTTTGATTTCCTCTTCCCAACTGTGCGACATTACCATCTCAGAAGAAGAAGTTGCTAAACACATATACCACCTGGATCCATCTAAAGCTACTGGTCCTGATGGTAGTCCCGGCCGGATTCTGAAAGAATGCAGCGCTAATATCGCTCCAAGCCTTTGCTCACTTTCCAACCACTCCCTTCGCACTGGATCTGTTCCTTCGAAAATGGAAATCGGCAAATGTCACACCCATTCATAAGAAAGAGAAAAAGGAACCTGCCACGAACTACCGACCAATATCCCTACTATCCATTATTAGCAAAGTCTTGGAGCGATGCGTTTGTATTCGATTCTATGATCATGTTCGGGTCATGATAAATGACGCTCAGCACGGATTCCTTCATGGTCGCTTGTGTGTCACCCAACTTCTGACAACTCTTCGCGAATCGGACAACTACTCGACAATAATATCCAGACGGACGTTATCTTCCTTGATTTCGCAAAGGCCTTCGATTCGGTTGATCATAACATTCTCCTAATGAAACTTAGAACTATGGAATATCTGGAAACCTTTACGACTGGTTCAGTAGCTACCTATGTGGGCGCACACAGCGTGTTGTTGTGGAAGGCGTAGCTTCGGAATGGTCCCCAGTAACCTCTGGCGTCCCACAAGGAAGCATTTTAGGTCCCATGCTTTTCCTTCTGTTCATTAATGATCTCCCTGACGCAATCCCTCAAGTAACATCAACAGGATTGTACGCTGACGACGCGAAGCTATACAGGGCTATAACGTCTAACGAGGATAATGCTTGCCTGCAGACCGCCTTGTCGTGCGCTGGAGTTTGGAGCGTTGATTCAAACATCACTTTCAACACCTCTAAGTGCAAAATAATGACAATCTCCCGCCGTAGAAGGCCGCTCATCGCCAATTACCATCTTGGTTCTGCAGATTTGAAACGCGTGGACAGTGAATTTGATCTCTGGATCACTTTGACAAGTAACCTCTGTTGGAACACCGAACACGCAAATATCGCGGATTGTTAGCAAGGCCAATGTAATGCTGGGTCTACTACGAAGAACATGTCCCCTCCTAACAGTTTGCAATGTTCGGCGCACATTGTATCTTTCCCTGGTAAAATCTCAGCTATGTTACGCCACAGAAGTCTGGTCACCATCGCAGTATAACAACAAAACGCTGTTGGAGAGAGTGCAAAGGCGCGCCACAAGATGGATCCTCCAAACGCGGGACATCACATATAGGAATCGATTGCAGATGTTAAATCTTCTCCCGTTGACATACGACAGAGAAATCAAGGATTTGACATTTTTCTTTAAGTTGCTAAATGGATTTTACGATTTAAATATTTCTAATTTTGTGTCGTTTGTTAGTCATAATCGTACTTGTAACTGTGAAAATCCTTCTCTCGTTCTTAAAGTTCCGTCGTGTAAAACAAGTGCTTTCCAGTCGTCCTTCTTTAACCGTGTTGTCGCTCTCGGGAATTGTGTGTGTAAAATAGCTTGTCCTGCAGACCTTCGCAGTCTAACTATATGTTTAAATTTTTTTGTCAAGAACATACGTACAGTTATTAGAAAATAGTTATAATGTAGATATGCCATGTACCTGGTCTTTATGTCGCAGTTGTTCGTGTCATAGGTCTTAATATAACTATTACGAGGCTTTATGTACTATTTAAAAAACGAGCAGGAGTGTTTTATTAGGTTTAAAGCCACGAGCGCGCAGCGCGAGTGGCTTTAGACCTAATAAAACACGACCCGCGAGTTTTTTAAATGACTTCAAAAACGTATGCATAATAAGTCAAATCTTTATATAAAAATCTTTATATAAAAATCTTGATATAAAAATCTTTATATAGTTTGCATAACAATGGTATTTTGTTAAAGTGTTCTTTAGTTGGTATAAAGACGTATGCACGTGACTAATTTCTTACTCAAGATTGGATAATTGCTTCATGAATTATTAATGAGTTTTTGAATTATAGGTAGTGAATCGTTACAACATTACAACAATCTCTAATAATTATCAGTTCTTAATATAATGTTCGTCTTCTCGTAGTAGTTTCCTATAGTTCACTTCATTTCACTTTGCTCATCAGTCTTCACTTTACTTCACTTTACTGATCAGTACACTGACGAATTTGGGTTGTGCACGCCCTTTTATACTAATGGTTGAGGGATCTTTACACACGTGATGTAGCAAGTGGTGTGATTTGTATCCAGCCAATCAACGTTGAGGTTTAAAAGTGTGGGTTGGCGTTGTTAGCTCGTTCCAGCCCTCACATTCTGTTTATTTAAGGCGTTGTCGCACTGGTCGAGTTGGTTCGCTGTTCAATCGATCAATATTAAAATATGTTCACAACTTAAAATACTCATCAAAATATCATAGTAAAAACTTCAAACTATACCTATGTGAACCTTACTTTACCTACTAAACTAAATTTACTTACAATTTTATTGAACCAAGACCTGATGACGTAATGTTATCATTACTCAACCGCGCGAAATATACCGAAGAATGATTGACAGAAATGCCCTAAGCATGCACATTTTCATGTCAGAGAAGAACCAGCCTTGGACTTTGAATTATGTAAACACAACAGCCCACCATGCAAGGCTATCGTCCATCTTTGACAAATTGACGAATTCTCTATCTTGCCTAATGGACAGATAATTGACACTTTTACACAAGTCCGAAATGAGATATACTTTATCTGCGTTTTACAGCAAAAATGCTCATTATCTCTCCATTTGACGTAACTAGTATCTATAATTTCTTGGGGTGCAAACTGAACTATTTTTATACTATTTAGATATACTTTCGTAACATAACTAATAGTTTCTAAAGTAAACGTATGCTTTGTTGCTTGAGTATTTCTGTAATTGTTTTCTGATATTCTAGGTATAACGCAGTATTGGCTGGGTTTTTTTATAGTATTTTAATCACTTTATTTAAACCAACCACATTTAATATGTATGAGCTTCAAACAATTGGCATATGTTTATTTTAGTTGTAGTCATCTTAACAATAATTTTTGTAATTTAATCAATTTGTAAAAAGGTAGAGTGCCTTGCATGGGACTTCGAGTCTCGTTTGCACTCGTGCCGTTTGGTATGTCTTGTTTTACTGTCCAATAAAGTTTACAATATAATATATTCTCTATACAGGGTGTATCAAAAAAAACTGAACAGATTTAAAATTACTCTCAATTTCGCAAAACAGCTATTTGTAGCTGGTTTTTTATATATATATAGCTTCTTTGGGTACTTATAATGTAAAATAATGAAAAAAATTTCTCGAACTTAAATTTTGTGAACCAGGGGGGTGTGGCTTTTCCAACAAACTAAAAATGGCTCGCGCACAAAATTTAAAAGCTGCAATCATATTTTGAGTTAACAGATGGAAAATTTGTCGAGATTTTAATTACTGTACAAAATTTCAGACAATTTGGTTTAGTTTAAGCCACTTAACTATTCACGCAAAGTTACAATTTTTCCGAAAAATCAGCTATTTGCATGCTTAATTAATGCATTTGCTTAATTTGCATATGTCAGCAATATGCAAATTAGGTAAAGGCATTAATTAAGCATGCGAAAGGCTGACTTTTTAGAACAAAATGAATAGTTAAAGGGCTTAAACTAAACCAAATTGTCTGAAATTTTGTACAGTAATTTCAAACCCGACAAATTTTCCATCTAGTAACTCAAAATATGAATACAGATTTTGTGCGCGAGCCATTTTTAGTTTGTTGGAAAGGATACACCCCCCTGGTTCACAAAATTTGAGTTCGAGAATTTTTTTTCATTATTCTACATTATAAGTACCCAAAGAAGCTATTTATATAAAAAACAGATACAAATAGATGTTTTGCGAAATTGAGAGCAATTTCAAATCTATTCAGTTTTTTTTTATACACCCTTTATATATATATATATATATATATATATATATATATATATATATATATATATATATATATATATATATATATATATATACTTTATAATTATATGTCAGTTTGTTGATATATACGGTAAGCGCCATGTAAAGCTCAATGTAGTCACTGAAACCTCTGCGGAGGAGAGAGCAATCGGGTGGCTATTTAATATAAGTTACATTTGCAATATATTTCGCTAATTTGTGATTATTTTTGTTAATTTTATAAGTTCATTGCAGTTTTAATTTAAATGCAGCCGTTTAGTGGGCTGCCTACCTATTGTAAGTTGTTGTGGTTGTGGTTGTGTGAAACTTAAATTTCTCCTGCGACATTTTGATTGGATACTAAATATAAACTTTGCTGTGGGTGGAAAGCAATCAGGTTAAGTTTTGTATCAAGCTCTATTTGTAAAATAGAGCCTGATACTCAGGTTAATTTCTACATTAATGCCATGATTATCTACAAAAATAAGCATGTCGATCTTTTTATAAAATGACAATTTAAGCCAATTGCGCGTGACATAAGGTTTAGAGTTAAAAGTTTGCAAAGGACAACATATCACTGGATTTTAAATTAAACCCATGCATAATCATTAAGTAAAGTGCATAAAAACGGCATGTAAAAATCTTCCTTTACTTGTGTCTGGGTGGACTAATCCGATTGCCAACCCAGTTATATATCTAAACTAGAATACATGCAAGCAACAATCCCCCGCCTATATTTTCCAAACATTGTTTCAACATGACGTATTCCTAGTTACGCCAGTACTAAACGCAGGCTCACGTTGCAACGTCATGCTATAGTCATGGCACGCGAAAATTGTTTTTTTTTAAATTTTTTGTACAAACCGGGAAAATGTAGATGAAATTGGAACACTTTTAAATACAGAACTATCAATTTCTAAAATATGTAAAGTAGGTATAATATTTTGGTTTCTATGGGCTTTATTTTAATGTAAAATTCGAAACGAAACTCTGCGTAAAACGTTTTTAAATGTGAATTTCATCAACTGCTTTTTGCCGATGTTTAAAAACTTTTCAACTCGAGCTTCAACTTATTACTCGCACATTGAAGTGAAATTCGTACATAACGCTAATGAAAATAATTTGCCTTCGTTTTTATCATGAACTTCTACAAAGGATAATTTAACTAAGAAACGTTCGCAAACAATGCATAGGAAAGACTTGAACATCAAAGTCTACATTATTACAAAGTCATACATAAACAATTGAAACCGGCAAACTTGCCCTATACTTTAGGATTTCTCATGCTAAATCAATTCTTATAAATGTGTACGTTTAAAAGTGGTTAAAAAGCTTTACAATTTCTTACGTGAAACAATTTTCCAAGCTTTCTGACATGTATTTTTTTATATTTTTTGCCTCTTCACACCTGGCGGACAGCCATATTTTGATATCAGTGAGGTGACCAACCACCGAACCACGCACGGTAACACACGCCCGCGATCACTGATGAACTTTAGATTTCGCTAATGCTTTCATTTCCTCGGGTGTAAATAGCCGGGTGGAATTAATACCCACACCCCAGGCTTATGCCTGGAACGGCGCTCCGCGCCGTTGGCAATAGGGGAAAAGAAACTGATCATGATATAACCTCCAACTATATCACGTATATAAAACCCGCATGTGTATGTTTATAAGGAGACCAAGAACCAGAAAGGACGGGTTGGTTGATATAACTAGAAACTTCAATAATATCTAATTATACGATAATTTCTTACCTTTTAGCATTTTCACAGCAACAACTTCAGGTTCACCTTTACCAGTTGTTAATAATCCTTGTTTAACAATTCCAAATTTTCCTTTGCCCAGGTTTATTCCCAATATGTTGAGACTGTCTGGCTTAATTTCCCAATCCATCAAAAGCGCCACATAATATAGATTTTCCGAATGATCTAAAATATTTTAATCGTTTTAGTTTGCCTAATTTAGAATCCTATAGAATATCATTTCAAACTAGAACGCACCAAGAAACTGCAAACCCATATTTGCTTCTTCGCACTCTGGTCTTTATGGTTTGGTTTCTCCAGTTAGGGTACAGTAAGTATACCAGGAAATATTGCAAATTTCTCTTTATATATCATATTGTCGTTTTTATAATATGGCTAGAATAACTGTAAGCATGCATGCCAGCATTGCTGTTTGTGGTTTATCAACATTAGAAAAAATGACAATTTTTTATATAATCATTAAATATTCACCGAAAACATGTATAATTATTCGTCCTCAGCAAAATTCTGTTGCTCTTAATTTTAATTATTGGCCTACTAATAACTATTATATGAATATCTGAAAAAATCAGACTAAATAAATATAAAAAAATGAAATTAAAACGTGAAATTACAACCCGTTAGATCAACTTTAACCAACCTGCTTGTGCAGTGGCTTTAGGCTGCGACTCTGACGTTTGGGAGGCTGGTTGTAATGCATCTACGTTGTTTTGACGTCCTAATTCCAAGCGATTTGAATGGAATTCCTGCATTTGATAAGATAAGGAAATTATGTTCTGTTTATATTGACTGAGACACAAGGCATTTTTTAATACCATGGACTGGTGGGGCATTTGCCCCACTGGGCCCCTTCATCTGCCCCACCACTAAAGAAAAAACATGGCCTATTGTCCCAAAGCCAGGGTCCTAAGACCTGTATTCAGTAAACGAGTTTACATTGAAAGAAGTTTAATTAAAAACAAAATTTGTCGGTGATTATACTTTGAATTCTATAAGCTGTGTTTGAATGTTTAGCATGCAATTTATTACAAATTTCACCATTAAAACTTTATTTTGAGAAGTTAAGATTTTAAAAATTTGCCCTCAGAATGTGCAGGAATTGCTATTTCAGAGACTCAAATTTAAAATTTCCCTGGGAGGCATGGAGAAAATATCCATTTGGCAGTTTTGCCCCACCATTGAAGAATCGTTAAAAAATGCATTGATGAGACATTTCTTATAATTATGTAACAATGTAAGTGAGCATGGCAATAAACATTAATTTTGTCTTGTTAGACGGATCGACCATAATTTTATTTTTTTAAAGTATAACCTTGTTGTATATATTGCCTGATGATAGGCAGATATATTTCTGTCAAGTGTCAAACACATCCATTGTCAATTCTAAAAGTTACGTTACGTGTTATTATTATGTTTATTTTAAATTGTAAGGAAAGTACACAACGTTCATTCTTACCCGTACTGATTCATTATGCCGTCGTTTCAAGACTTTTCTTCGCAGAAAAAATAAAACAATCAACGCCAGAATAAAAAAGAGAATCGCCCCAATCACTGTCCCTGCGGTTAGACCAGCATTTGAGCTTTTATCATCAGTCGGCTCAGCCTGTGTCGTTTGTGTTTCAGCAAGTACAGGATCTGAACTGTTTCCATTTCCAACATTATTGACGGCCTGAATTTTTACTGAATAAGACGTAAATTCGTCTAAAATCAGAATAAGTAAAGTAATTTGTAACGTAAAAATCGCACTGGGACATTTGGGGGGAGGGGGGCGGGGGAAATTTTAACTCTAGAGATTTTTCGCCGTCGGAGATATTTGACGTCATATGCTCATGCAGTGCTATAGAGAACTGATTTTTATATTCTTGAACATTCAGTATAGTTAACAGGAGTAGTGCGTCCTTTAGTTTTGAGAGGGAATCGTGAGTAATCTAGAAATGCAGAGATGCAAATTCCTGCTTTCTAGGAGAATTTTTAACAGAAATAACTATATGGGCAATACAGCCTATTTCGTTTGGGGAGCGCTTCAGCTATATAGGTAGCCGGAGGCCGGAGAAAACCGCCCTGTTTTCCCTCCATCCTGGTATCCTATACAGCATATAATGGATTGTGACAGCAAAGTATTTTTCAATACAAATATGTGTTGTAAAGTGTACCAATATTCAACAACTTTCCGATCCTCCACTGGCATGAGTAAAACGCACAATATACTACAATTGTAATCTTCAGCTGGTAACCGTATTCAAAATTATTGCACAGCATTCTAACCATAATAATCGGGTGCCATTCTGATACTTCACAGCACTTCCGCTGAAACGCACCAAATTATGATGATTATGTAAATTTATTCACGCCGAATGATTTATTTCGATTTGAGTGAATTGGACCTCGATACAAATAAAATGACAGGATTTAATTTGTTGGAAATGCACATCGAGGTATTGATTCAAACATGAAATTTTCAATTATTCGCTGGGCGTCTCATGAATGATGGCTTCCCTTTATTAATCTTGGGATAATATTTTAACTATGATGTATTCTTTGCAATGGGCAAGCATAGTGGTAACTTAATACTTGCCTAAATGTTTTATTACAAAAGGACTTGAGGTGACATTTTCCTTCATATAAATTTCGTTTCTATTACTTCTCCTCCATGACACTATATAATGTTTAATTTCACCATATGGATATTCTGGTAGCAGCCATGACACAATAAGAGCATTTCCTTCAACAATCACTCTGACATTTCGAGGGCTGCTTGGGACTAAACAAAGAGTGAACCAGGATATTTGATTGGCAGGCTTATAATAGCTAGGTCATGCAAAGTAATTGCTTCAAAATATGAGGGCGACTTCCTTCGAAAAGCATGAGTTGGCAAAGAGGGTTTTTTGCCCTCCTTCTCTTCGATGAGAATGAACCGCCACCTATAGTATTTGAATGAAGTTTTTTAGTGGTAAAAATTTTAAAATTGGACTGAAAGCAACAAGAAATAGCATTTTTGTTCTCCAAATCATCAACTTGCATCAGCAAAGTATGCATTGTCAGAATACAATGCCAATATATACATACATGTAAGAATTCTTAAGATACGTGCTTCTGTGTTTTGTGCTATCCGAGACTAACCAACAATTGGTTATCCTGTTCTTATATTAGCTTCTTATATTAGCTTACTAGAAAATACACGCGTGCAGAAACCCTCGCCTATTTTCCGAACGTGAAGTATTTTAAGTAGTTGTCATGGTAACACGATAATTTTTAAGAATATTTTTACAAATGAAAAATCCCCTATAAATATCGCTTTTAATTACAAAATTATCAATTTCCTAAACATATATATGTTAGGTATGTTATTATACGTAATATAAGCTTGAAATTAAAGTAAAATTCAACCACAAACGCTTCGCAAAACGTTTTAATGTAATCAATAAAGAAACACTGAAATAATACGCTGTCTTGTTTCATATTTATACACAACGATCGGCTTTTAAAATAATTACCGTAAGTATGTTATTATACGTAATAAAGCTTCAATTTAAGGTAAAATTCAACCACAAACGCTTCGCAAAACGTTTGAAAATGTTCTTTTAATATAGAACTAAACTGCCTTTATCGATAAACTTTGAGTTCGAAATAAAATGATTCCAAATTCTCCCATGTAAATAACTTTGCTTAGTATAATAAAAAGTGTAATCAATAAAGAAACACTGAAATAATACGCTGTCTTGTTTCATATTTTATATAGCTACGCAACGATCGGCTTTTAAAGTAATTACAGCCGGGATTACAGTATATTAAAAGCAAACAATGCATCAATATTTAAAACAAACTTACCTTCGTTAACGTAGGCACCTTTACTTCCTTCTTTTAGCAATCCTCTTGCCTTTATTTCATCAAAAATCCTTTGCAATTTACAAAATCTTGCAAAAATGAAATATATTTGCAAAAAATCATCAAATCAATTTCGCTGTCGTCAATCGTCATGCAGCCGTTATAATGCCAATTTTTAATTGGACCAATCAGTGTTGGCTATTCATTACAGTCCGCTATATTATGAGATCAGTGAGGATGACCACCCACCGAAACACGCAAAGTGACCCACGCCCACGATATTTGATGAACTTTTGACTTCGCTAATGCTTCCCTTCCCTGGATGTAAATAGCCGGGGGGAATTAGTAACCTCGCACGGCGCTTCGCGCCGTCGGCTCGGGGATTATATTTAATTTAATTTAATTTAATTGCTTTTCCATCACTACTGTACAGAAATATACACACACATATACATGCATAACACAATGACATAAACTGAGTTGATGGTTGGGTATCCGCAACAGCCTGAAACCAATTACTGCGGGCCCAAAACGTTAAGAGACAAATATCAATAACACAAATAACAATTAAACAATAGAGACTAAAAACAACAGTTCATCGAGTTCGTTAAAGTCCTTGCTCTATTGCATTTCGGGCAAATCGTTTTAAAAGTTCGTACATCATCACAATCGTATGTGTTCGTTAATGCAGTATGGTGGTACTCTCGCATTACAGACTTGAATGTGTTGAAGTTCAGGTTCTCCATACTCAAGTCAAGTATGACCGTCAATGTATTCCATGTTCTGATGCTTCTTATCCAGTATGATCTTTGGTAGGTTGTTGTTTTGCACCGCGGGACTTCGTACTTTACACCTTTCGTGTTAGTGGGCGATCTTGTATATCTTGTTGTCTTGGCGTGCAAGGCAAAGGACGAGCTGGTAATGCCATGAGTTACTTTGAAGAAATTAATCACATCAAGGTATTCATGCCAGTAACATATGGGCAGTAGATGGAGAGTTTGCAATCTGGATTTGTAATTTACTGAACTGATAAATGGAAGATTAAGAATGTATTTTGCAGCACGTCTTTGAGGTTTTTCTAGTTTGAGCAGAAGTTCGGTAGATTGGGGTGTCCAGACTTGCGTCGCGTAACCAAGATGTGATCGTACCAGTGACAGGTAAATGGTTCTTCTTGTTTTAATGCTGTTAATTGTTCGTGTGTTCCGTCTGATGTAGCTAAGCATTTTATTTGCTTGTGCACACTGTTTGTTGACATGCTTGTTCAATGTCAAATCGGAAGATATCCAGACACCAAGATCACGTTCTTGCTTAATTGATGCTAGTGGAGCGTCATTCATAAAATAGGTGGTAGGGATTGGATTGGTTTTACGGGTAATGGATTGTGCTTTGCATTTTGCTTCGTTGAATTGTACGCCAGATTCAGATGACCAGATCCCCAAGTTAGTGATATCTTCCTGTAACTTTATTGCATCATTGGGCGATTGTATTGCCTTGAAGACTTTGGTATCGTCCGCAAACATTGCAACACGACTTGACTTCACATTGCTTGGCAGATCATTGACGTAGAGGAGGAACAATGCTGGACCAAGTATTGAACCTTGCGGTACACCAGACGTGACAGGAAGTAGGTCTGACATTGCTCCTAACACTGTAACGCGTTGTTTACAATTTTCTAGATAGCAACGAAACCATCTGAGGAGATTACCTCCAAAACCATAGTCTTTCTGCAGCTTTCGTATTAATACATCATGATCGACCTTGTCGAATGCCTTTGACATATCCATATAAATCATGTCTATATGTCCTCCACTGTCTAAACACGATCCAACGTAGTCAAGAGTGTCAATGAGGTTTGATATGCAAGATCTCCCGGCCATGAACCCATGTTGACACATGTTAACTGCATCATACAAACGAGTTTTTATGTTGTTTAGGACACAGCGTTCCAGAACTTTCGATGTAATACATAATAGAGAAATTGGGCGATAGTTCTCAGCATACTCTTTGTCACCTTTCTTGTGCACGGGCACAATATTAGCCAATTTCCATTCATCTGGTATTGTTCCTGAAATAACTGATATATTGAACAGCTTGCACAGGGAAGGTGTTATCACATCTGCTGTTTCCCTCAGTAGTCTTGCAGGAATACCATCAGGACCTGTTGCTTTGCTTGAATCAAGTGATCTCAACACATAAGAAACTTCTTCTTCACTAAATGTTAGATCAGTCATGATTGGCTCGTCAGACTCAATGACGTCTTCCTCGTTAGCTTTCTTTGTTGAAAATACTGACGCAAAGTAGTGGTTGAACATGTTTGCTATACCATCTGGATTATCGGCCGCCGTTCGTTGTGCTGTATTTGGACCAGGTGTGTTGACGTTGTTTGCGGATGAAATAATGTCAGGGATGTTTCTTGTCTTTGAGCTTCTTTTCAAAACCGACCCGAAACGCTTTGGATTTTGTTTAATGTCAGTTCCTAAATTGTTGAAAAACTTTTCCCGACTTTTCCGCAACATATGCTTGACTTCAGATCGCAAGGTTTTGAATTGCTGCTGTAGTCGAAAATTGTTTGGAGAAGCCTTAAGTTTTTGCCGAGCTGAGTCTTTCTTTCTTATGGCGTTAAGAATAGCACCATTAACCCATGGAGCTGGATTGCGTCCTTTGATCTTTTTCATCGGTATATAATGTGAAACGGCTGTTAAAAACGCTCCTTTCCATTGTTGCCAGGCGATGTTGATATCTATGGCATGTTCAACGAGAGACGTCAGATTGATTGCGTTCAATGCACGTCGCAGTCCTTCAAAGTCACCAGCGTTGTAGTTATAGACATACCTCCCAGTTTTTGGTTTTGCTTTAATATTCTCAGTAAACTCGTAAAGGACTGTTGAGTGATCCGTCATTATTTCAGTTGTCTCTGGGGGAAGTACTTCAGACACAGTGACTAATTCTGGAACAGTTGTGATAACAAGATCTAGAATTTTGTTGGCACGAGTAGGGATGGTGTTTACTTGAGTGAAATAGTGGTCATCAAGTATGTCAACAAAGTTCGCTTCGTTCGCACCAGATGCATTCAATGTTGCATCCCACGAGATGTTGGGTAGATTAAAATCACCGGATATCACTACGTTTTTAAACTGATCGCAAACTTGATCCAGGAATGTGTTGAGTGTGCTTGTCCAAGTTCGTTCAGTGTCAGGTGGTCTGTAGCAAGAAGAGAAGAGGATATTTTGGTTTGACGCAGTTTTCACTATTGCTGAAACAATCTCTAATTCTTTTATGTCATCCAGGTTTGAGACGAATTCCTTAACCGAGCTAAACGAACTTGATTTGGTTGCAACCAAGACCCCGCCGCCATTTCGTCCAACTCTGTCTTTCCTGAAGATGTTATAGTCAGAATTTAAGATCTCAGAGTTACTTATGTTTTCGTTGAGCCATGTCTCATTTACACATACGACATCCAAATTTTCTCCGTAAACGAAGTCTTGAAATCTTTGAAGATTGCAGATGATCGAATTAGTGGTGACATCTTTGTGGATGCTTTTCAAACTTCTGGCGTTTATTGTGGCACATTTGATGGGAAGTTGTTTAGATGGAGGAGCAGGACCAGGATTGGTTGCGATGTCACCAGCAAGAAGAATACACAAGAGTAGATGGACATTATTGTTTTGGATGTTAAACTGAAGACCATAGCGGTGGTTGGGGAGAAAGGATGATTTTCTTCTAATTTTGTCTCGTGTAAAAATCCATAGGTTGCAAAAACGTTCAGGTATTGATGTTCATTCTGGAGAAACGGAGAAATCATCAGCCGTTATTCTCTCGTTGATGGAAATGAACACAGGTTTAGATCTTGTTGACAGCCAGAGAGATATCACGAGACACACCATCCAAAATGATGCCGAGATGGCAAAGGATTGGCAGGTTTTACGCATTTTTATACTTCTTATTTCCCAAAATGTTCTAATTAAATCACCAAATGTTCTTATGATTGTTCTAATAGATGACCGTTATTGCACGTGTAATGACGTATATGATCGTTTGCTCACGTATGTTGTTTGTAATTTGCCGCACGCGCTGGAATCAAACGCAGTTCGTAATAACGTTCCTTGAATCACGTAGCCCGTATGCACACGCCAAAATCAACCGTCAACTTGCGCGTGCTCAAAATATATTGCAAAATTCCTTTCAATTTTACAAATAATCCAACAAAATAAAGCGTAAATATTCAAAATTTTACCAAATCAACTTCACTTTCCCAGAGGCAAATACTTTAACCACAATTATTGTGTGATGCCAACCCACAAAGTCGTAGAAATAAGGTAAAACGATTGATGGTTTTGCGGTGCGATTTGACTCGCCGCTCGCGCGCCACGCGCGTCACGACATTTAGTTGCGCGCGTCCGTTGTTGTAGTTGTAGTTGTAGTTATCATTCGTTGTAGTTGTTGTCACTGTTGTTGTCATAGGCCTTGAGAAATCTCCAAATGAGGAATCTTCATACCATGTATAAAATACCTGTACTGCAAAACAGCAACTAAATCATACCTTTGCTGGAACAGCGGCCCTCAGTACAACGATGTTTCGAAGGCGTGGGAGTATTTGACATTGGTTTGGGAGTAGAACTGGTAATTTTATAGCTTAGTGGTTGAGCCGTTCTAGGTAACTTTCTGTCGAAAATTGGTAAAACATATTCAGGTAGCACACGAAAATATGCGTTATAATCTTCATATGTCTGGAACAAACCTGTCACAAAATTAACAGTGTCCCATCTCACTTTCCAAACGAAATCTTGAATTTTTATATCATGTTTGTACGGCGTCTCCGCAATCTCTCCCAAAAAGGAATGGTCATCGTAGTCCATTTTTCTAAAGCCCATGTTAGTCAGGCTAACTTCTGTCGATATCATGTCAACGTTCAGTGTAAAACAGTAGGATTCTTTCGCATATTCGACGAAATGCCACTTGCCATCGTTAATTTCCACGCTTGATGTAGCAGTATAGTTAGTTCCTACGAAAAGCGAATCTTGTTAGTTTAATTGAGTTTAGTTTGGTTTAGTTTGATGTGTTTACCACACTGACGTATTGACAAAGGTCTGTGAGGGTTAGTTAATCAATTATGGTGAATGCCTAGGACCCTGAGAAAAACTCTTTAAACACAGAGGCGTAGCCTTCCCCAAAGAAGTGAGGGGAGAGAGGGGGCAATCGTCGAATACACAGAACAACCGGGGGATCCGAGGGGCATGGTTTCCGGAACATTTTTCTTTTTGGACTGTCTGCAAAACGCTATTCAATGCATTTTGGACCCGTTTTATGATAATCTGAAAGCCATAGATTTGGTATATTTTTTGTCATGGATGAAAACATTAAGATGTTTTGCCCCCCCCCCCAGTTTCTCCTCAGTTTCGGAAGAATTACAAAATTGGTCCTGAAGAAAAGTGGGATGGGGTGGTATGAACACGCCCTTATAAATACTGAGGGCAACGCGCCAAAAAATGTGTAGGTATACATGATTGCAAATGGTAGCGAACTGACTGTGAAGCATACCTGGACCGACGAAGCTACCAAAATTGACCACCACTTTTAATTTCGAAGACTTAATTTCAATTAGAGTGAAATCTCCATAGTTTGATGGGCCTCCGGCATAAAACAGAATGGCATTTTGTTGCAATGTCCGAATGCGGAATGCGTATTTCTCTTCATTCAATGCCCGGCTTGTAAAACGATGCTTCACTTTGTAAGTTCCATCTAAGGTCAGTTCCAAGCCAGCTTAATAAAAGAGTAAAAACTGTTTAAAACAAAACCAACTTTATTTAGCTCTATGAGTTTGAAACTGTTGTCCCAAGAGGTCCAGTAAGGGTCCTTCTCGATACCTATAGTAAAACGTAAACTAATCGTGGGTTCGATCCCCACATCGGAATGACAGTTATGTGAAAAGGGAAAGTAAAAACGCAGCGGACTTGTAGCAATGCTGTTCCAACAACTTGTCAACAGAACGTGTTCGGACTGCTTGTTCCCAGGTTGTTGACAAGTTGTCAAGGGCCTGTTGACAACTTGCTACATGGTTGTTGATTCAACAGACTTGTTACAAGTTGTTGCAACAACTTGTTATCGTTCTGCAATTCGACAACTTGATAACAAGTTGTGAGTGACACTCTTGTAGCAACTTGACAAAATAACAGCATTGTTATACAACTTGTTGACAAGCTTGCTATAGTTCAAGCCTGTTGCGAACGCATCTTGTTGACAAGTTGTGAGATGTTTACGTGTGTATATATGGGACTGCAGCCGATCATTTGGCGAGAATCAAACCTTGAATGGACCAATTAGTCTTCAGTAATCAGAAATTTTTATTGAAACACTTTACTCCTAGACAAACAATTGACAACTGTTTAATGTTCGTTCTGTAGAAAGGAACAAATTATAATTTCGAATCATCGTGTGCTATAATTATGAACTTATACTTACTTTCGGTACATAATGGTCCTGTAAACCCAGTCCAGCGACAATCACAAGTCGTCGCAATCTTGTTCTTCAGAGGGAAACATCTGCCATTATTTTTACAAATTGGATCTGGATTGTGGCAATGGTTGAGATTACAGCCTTCTTCTACCTTGTTCTTATCGGTATATTCGTTCGTAATTTCTCTCATATCCCTGCGAGTTTCACCATATCTGATATTTCGCACGCACGCATTGAAGAAGCCTCTTCTGAAAGCGAATAATGAAACAATGAGTAAATATCAGTAAATTTGGAGTGTAAATTTTACACATTTATTAGACATAAGTTATAACCAGTAGCAGTTGCAAAAAGTGCAACTATAGGCGCTCTTCCTCTGGTAGGAATCTATTTTTTAACCAATAAGGAAATTCATAATCATCGTAACACAAGGAATTCGTCATTGCTACACAAAAAGAGCAATAGAACCAATTACACAAAACACACTCTCTCTAATAAAAGTATAGAAGTGTGGAATAATCTTCCCACTCAATATAAAGAACCCGCTTAAAGTCTTACGACTCCTTCAAGACAATAATGAGAAAGTACTTCTCAGATCTAAATTTAATAGAATAACATATTCCTGTAAGTATAGGAAAGCTATAAATCAAAAATTGAATTGTAAATATAGCTTACTATCATATCATATAATATTTAACTATTCTTTTCCTTTCTCCTAAAAGCACTCGAACTGATGCAGCATATTATTTTGCTAATTAGTTTAAATTTACAACCTAGGGGCCTAAAACAAAAGCCATATGGTTTCTAGTAGGCTCCTAGCCCATCTCTTGTAAATAGTTTATTTCTTTTATGTGTAATTTCAATATCTTGGGCGAATCGGCAAATAAAAAGTAAAAAATACTCCGGTGCAGCGCTCTAACCAACTGAGCTACAGAGTCCAGTTGTCGAGCTTCAACCGCACGTTCATGTATATATGCTAAGGTGATGATGCATGGGTAAATATCAGGGATTTGGGCGTCTTTTATATCACTCTCCTCCGCAGGGCCATATAAATAAACACGAATTCGAAAGCTAGCTATACCCGGATGTGTGCAATTTTCCCGCATGCCTCATAATTTTCTACTTTTAAAATTCGTGTCGTACTCATTTTCCCTCAGCTTTAAATTCGCGCTATTTACTTTCGCGCACCTTGTTGAGACTTATTCGCGCAGCATTAAATTCGCGCAAGTAATTTTCCGAGTTCGTTCTTTTTGGTTTGTTTAATAGAACTGTTCTGTTCTCACTTGTTTTTCTAAATTATTGGAAAAGCTTATATAAGAGATTAATTAGCCACATAGAAAAAAATAAAATATTAACACAAAATCAGTATGGTTTTAGGGAAAATAGATCTACTGAACTTGCAATCATTGAACTTGTTGACAAAATCACCCAAGCAATCGATAAAGGAGAATACACAATAGGTATCTTCCTCGATTTGTCAAAAGCCTTTGACACAATTAATCACAAGATTCTGATTCAAAAACTAGAACACTATGGTATACGCGGAATAACAAGACAGTGGTTTGAAGATTACTTAAAAAACAGAAAACAGATTGTTAAATATTATACCAAGTTAAATCAAAAGCAATGATAATTAAAAGTGGTGTCCCACAGGGGTCAATTCTTGGACCAATTTTATTTCTTCTCTATATCAATGATATTGAAAATTGTAGCAAATTAATTTCATTTATATTATTTGCAGATGACACTAATATATTCTATAGTAACAAGTGTCTAAAAACACTTAATAAGATTATGCAAATTGAAATTGATAAAGTTGCTGAATGGTTAAATGCGAATAAGTTATCTCTAAATACTACAAAAACAAAAGTAATATTATTCCGATCTACAAATAAAAAACCAAAGCAAGACATTAAAATTAACATTAATGGTAATAATATTGAACAAGTTAAAAATACAGTATTGTCATTGACGAATGTTTGACCTGGAAAGATCATATAGCTAAGGTAGCAAAGAAATTAATTAGAGCTGCTGGTATAATAGCTAAAATACGACATTTCGTGAACCGAAATACTGTAAAACTGATATACTATGCATTAGTCTATCCGGCATACTTGATTTATGGCAACCTAACATGGGGGTAATACTTACAAAAACAGAATTCAAAAAATAATGAATATACAAAAAAAAATAGTGCGTTTAATGGAATTCAAATCTTACTTTGATCACAGTGAGCCAATTTTCAAAGATTTAAATATCCTCAACATCTTCAAAATCAACGACTATTTAACTGCTTTATTTATGTTTCGATACCACCATCTTAATAATTTACCAGAATTTTTTAAAGATTTTTTTTGTGACAAACAACCAAATTCATCAATATAACACGAAAAATGCATCAAAACTTCACAAATGTTATAAAAGAACAAATTATATAGAACACACTCTCTCAAATAAAGGAGTTGACATATGGAATTCATTAGAAACAAAATTTATAGATATAAATTTCTACAGCACTTTCAAAAAGCAAATTAAACAATATTTTTTACTATACAATGTATAAGACATGCTATAAAAAATTCTGCTATATGACAAAATTAATAGTATATTGTAGTCTAATTCTTATAAGAATCCAAATGCATCTACAATATTGGTATTCACTTCTATAATAAGAACAATTTCTCTTCTTTTTCTCTCTTGTAAATATATATATATATATATATATATATATATATATATATATATATATATATATATATATATATATATATATATATATATATATATATATATATATATATATAGTGAAATGTTGCTGATAACAAGATACAAGTGTTGTATATAGAAAAGGTTTCAATGTGCAACCAAAAGAGACATTTATAACGTAAAATAAAATAAAAGTCACTCAAATTTTGCTATATATATATATACCTCAAAATTCCGCAACAGTCTGTTTCATCAGTAAAGAATCATTGTTGATTCTTTACTGATGAAACAGACTGTTGCCGAATTTTGAGGTAAGCGAAATTCTACATTTGCTCTATCTGTGTATATATATATATATATATATATATATATATATATATATATATATATATATATATATATATATACAATATATATATATATATATATATATATATATATATATATATATATATTCCTTTAATATTGTGATTGACTGTAAATAATTTATTACATAATATAATACAAACTAGCATAACTAGAGACCTAAATAAAAAGTTTACTAAGATTTCTAGTAGGTCTCTAGCCCGCACTCTACAATTATTGTAAATATACTACACATAAATTTATTGTACATGGAGAAAATTTTTAAAATAAAAATAAATAAAAATAAATAAACTATTAACAATTAACGCATTATGATGAGTATTTTACTATTTTTTATCAACAAATACTTCAATATTTGTCAAAACTTAATCTAAAAGCGATTAGGTGGCCTCAAAAAATGGCTTCAAAATTATGTAATGTAAGCCAAATTCATGATAACTATAAAGTATGAGTTCAAAATACCAACAAGAACGTTTTTTGTATTTTGCGGATTTGCCCAATACAACATAATGCGAACAGTAATGCAAATCAGTTAATAAATCAACTGATCATTACTACTTGCCGAGTGTCTCATATTACACCACTAAGCTTTTCGCGCGGATTATATATTTCACGCAGTACTAAAATTTGCGCACCCAGCGCTGCGCGAATTCTAGTCGTAGTACTGCGCGAATTTTAATACAAGTATTGTAATAGCCCGCGTGTTTAACCATTGTGTTCAACTATACGGCTCTGCAGAGGAGACTGCTTTTATATAATATTACTGTTAGGCACCGCCTCTAAGCCTCGTTGACGCGCGCAACCAAACGTTCCCACGCTTGGCTGCAAAGCAGGCTCAGGTTTCAGCCTTCGCTTATGGATAACTTGGATAACTTATCTACTATACCTCCACACGTAATGCTTTGTTGTGCAAACAACCAAATGGACAACTTGCATGTTAGACTAAATTTTAATCTAAGTAAAGAGAAGGGAATCAAACACCACAGCTATAAAAAGAACATAATGAAAATGGTAAAATTGCAAAATTTGGTTGCGAAATGTTGTAAAGCTTGGAAAATATAGTCTTGGAAAGTTTGCAAATTTTGTATATGTATACATTTTCGGCTCAAAAATGGTATTCTCCGCACGTAATACAAACATAATTATACAAAATATGCAACTGAACTTCGCAAGGCTATATTTTCATATTTCGACAACATAGACAACATTTCGCAACCAAATTTTGCAATTTTACTAATTTTAATAAGTTCTTTACGGGACATTTTTGCCTTGATCAAAAATTAGTCTAACATGCAAGTTGTCTTTGTACACGCAAATACCTAGGTATACAGTGAGATCATAAATTCCGCGACATATACATTCTGGTCACCCGGTACGACCATTTTATGCGGACTAGATAGTCGCTAAAGTATGCGGAAAAGTGGCGACTGATAGTCGAAGAAAATGTGCACCGTCGTATGGCTGAGCCTGCTAGTAAACCGTAACCACTCCACAAAAGTTTTAGTTATAAGTGTAACTGTCCTTGCTTGGTGGATGGTGGGGAGGTGGGAGGATAGTTCCCCGGAGGGGTAGCTGGCCGGGGTTAGGGTTTGCGGTTAGGTTGCGGGGTTAGCAGGTGGGGTTAGGGGTCAGTGGCTAGGAGGTGGGGTTAGGGTTAGGGGTTAGGATTAGGGTTTGGGTTAGGATTAGCGTTTGGATTGGAAGTGTACATGATGCGCGACTGACAGTCGCCATTTACTCGCATACTTTACCAACTATATAGTCATGTGGATATGGTCGTACCGGCTGTTCTGGTACATAAGCCAGTCTAATCTGGACTCTCTCTCATACTACTATATACTTACTTTGAAATCGGTAAAACATAAATCCAAAATGCTCCTGGATTTGAAATCTCATTTGGATATACATCAATGCTAAGACCTCCGATCGAGAGAGCAGACGTAAATGATGACTGATATCCGTAAGTCTCGAATTTTTTTCTTTCTCTCCCATTATCTATAATAAAACTCGTAATGGAAGCGTTTCTTTCGATCCTTACAGTATGCCAGTTGAAATCGTTGTATTTATGCTCACTAGTAAATTTCCTGTGGATACCCTTGTTATTTTGACTCACATAAAACG